TGATTAATTGTCATTTGGCTTCATAATCTGACATAAGTTCTTAATTTCATAACCAAATTTTAATGTCATTTTAATCATATTGTAATTCAAAAGAGCTCTTTCCTGTTTCCTACTTATTCCTGTTCCATGGATATCACTCTTTTTTTATAGGTCTACTATATATTCAGATCTCTGAGTCTATTAATCATAATCTGTTCTGTTACTATTTAAAAAATTCTTTGAATTTATTTTTTTCCCTAGGGTTAGGTTCATTTTATTTGTTTGTTTGTTTATTTATTTCTCTCCTGAATAACCTCTTGTGATGCTTAGTTCTTTATTAACACTATTGGCCAGGTAAGGTGAGTTTTTACCTGTCTCTAGGTAGGTCTGTTTGTTTCTTACACAATTTACCCTTTGGTGGGAATTTTAGTTTGGTCAACTGGGTGAAAAATGGTAGATTTATCTCTTCATCTTCCTAAAATGTTAGAATGAAGAAGGCTTTCTCTTGAGTTCTAACTCTTACACAGAATTCATTTCTTCTGTCAATCTGATCAATTTCCCTAGAGAAGGAAAAAAATCTCTCTCTCTCTCTCTCTCTCTCTCTCTCTCTCTCTCTCTCTCTCTCACACACACACACACACACACACACACAAATCACACATATATTTTTCCTCTAGGAAGTTGGTATCCTATAAAGGGTGGTAGTGTCTGAGTAACTGTACTTCTCCATTCATGTGTTTAATGATTCCCTGTGTTTTCAATCCCTCTTCTCATTCTTGTCTTTCTGCCTCAACTCTTTAGTGTCTCTGGATCAAAACAATTACATTGTTCCTGCCTCATAGTATTCTATAGGCTGGAGCTTTGCCTATTTCATTTATCAACACTGTCCCAGAAATATTATTCCCAGAATTTGCTGAAATATCTTATCTGGGGTTACTATCAACATTTGTATTCTGATTATTTATGGGTTTATTTATTTGTATTGACCCTCCTCCTGGCTATTACCAAAGTAGAGTCTTGAAAGATCTGAGGCAAATTTGTATATCTAGTTCACAATTTGAACTAGAATTCTTTTCCTTATAACCTTGAAATATGTTTGCTGAATGATTTATAAATACTAAAATTAAATTATGTTATTAAAACCTCAATCCACCTCTTGTTACATGCATATATATCAGTGCCTAACACTTGTATGGGAACTTTCTTTTCAATGGAGGTGCCACACCGATACCAAATTTTTTTTCTATAATAGATAAGCCTTATCTTGAAACGTGATATACCATTTATTATTCTATTGCCAAACAAAAGCATTTACACACATCTTATGGATCCATGTTGAACTGTTTTTTAGAGTTTGATACATAAGCAGCAATTAAAGTAGTATATTAAAGTATGTTAAAAATTACAGAATTTTGACTTTTGGGACTAATAATTCATGATAAGTATTACAGAATATTATAACAATATCATTTATCTCTGACCACCATTTTCAAATTTTATATTGGTATGGCTGTGGACACTGTTGGCAAAGATAGTCCCTTGTGTTTCTCTTTCATGTGCCCATTAACAATACCAATCAATACTTTATACTTTCCAGTCATCTTTAAGAGTCTTCATTGATTCAACTTTTAAAAAAGCATAAAAAGTACATGAAGAAGAAGTAAAGCCTGGGTATTTTGTACCCAGAAAGAGCTCACATGACTCACATGACTCTTGAGTACACACTCCAATGAACACATGGCTTGAGGCTCTTCAGTGCCATCA